TCGGATAGGTGTCTAATGTAATATAAATAGGCGGGTTGAAGTTGCCGAGATGGAACCTCATTCTTATAGTTAGAGTATGTTGGAGTCCTTCTCATAATCACCTGTGCATGCTTTGGTTCGAATTTGTTTTAATTCAGAGCTGCAAGAGATAAAGGTGATAGAGCCTTAAAAGTGATGACATATATATTATGCCACATGTTAATCCTGTCAGAATGAAGCATCAAGTCTCAGGAGATAAGCCCTGTAATATTTATAATGTGTAAATATTCTACATAGAAGAAAGATTTATCCCAAACTGGGACCAACCCAGTCTCCAATCCAGCCAGATATGGTTAAGGGTGTTCTTAGAAATCTACTTTCATATCATCACAGATTTAAATAATAAATGCATGAGAATACAATTCTCTGCATTTCTAACGGCTAATTTTTAACTCCTCTCATTGCCCAACAAAAAGAAAACCTGGGATGCGTACACATAGAATTGAATAAGAATAACAAATGGTTGAATTGATATACTTTAAATGTCAGTTTGAGTCAAATGGTCCGTTACTAACTGAATTTCTTTTTTCTTTCCTACTTCAAATAAGTCATTGTTTGCCTGACTTTCAGCCAGTTTATTTGTTCAGATATAGTCAAGGTCTAAAGGAAAGTGATTCTACATATAACTAAGTGGAAGAGGGCTGTTTAGTAAATTTAAAAGTTCTTTGATGCAGGTTAGTGCAGACGTTCCTGCATTAGCATTTATTTTATATGAATTCATCACTGTTTTTAAGCGTTATACACCCAGAATGTCCCAAAATAATGCCACTTTTAACCAAACCATGTTTAAGTATCTCATTTTCCATTTCTTTGAATAGAGAGTTCAACTGATTTTAATAAGTTTTCATTAACTTACAGTGGAGCCTAGGTAGTATATGATTCAGGAAAAAGCCTATACTATGTTTCTTGGAATTTTGACTGAGTTTCCTCTTTAGTCCTTCCAAATAAATGGCCAAGAGTCATAATCTTTGCAGGGAAATGGCTTTTCCTATTATTGTCTAAGTGATTAGGCTAAAGAAATGAAATACAAATATAATTTCAAAAGCAGTGTTTCCTCTATAAGTGCACTTATGAGGTTCTATTATCTGAACAAGCACTTAACGGATTTATATTAGACATAAAAATATACATTTTCTGTCATTTTAGACATCTTTAGAATATTCAAAGTTCCTTTGAAATTACAAAATAAATGTTTGGGGCCTAAGTACTTTGTAAATGCTCTAAATTATGATGGGGTACAGAAGAGTCAGGTGTCCAAACTTACACTCTCATTATAGAGTACATTATAAATTATGTTCATGGTCATGTTATTTTTCTTAGTTATAGCATTTTGTTGCCATTACACATTGCTTTTCAGAAAGAAAAAAAAGGGGCTGTTGCAGGACTTCCAAAAATCAGTTCTCTAACCAGAAATTATTTCTCTTTTAAAAATGTCTAAAAAAAAATTGTACCAGTTTATGCAATTCACATGTATATTATCATTCGTTTTCATCATAAAATGACTAATTTCAGAAGCTCTTGTAATGATCATAAATCAACATAGCTAATAAATATTAAGGTATTTATTGGCTAAAATATTACACGGAGGTACCTCCCAGCTTTATGCGGGCATTTAGAGTCAGAATAGCTGAGCACCTTTTCACAGGGGTTCCACTGACGGGTGCCAGGAAACAGCATTTCACATTTCTTTGGGGGCATGGTTTTCGGGCATAAAAAACAAAGTAGTTTTGATGTTTAATTCCTGTTCCCCAATGTGGCCAAAAACATTTACCAATGATCTCCAAATTCTCCTGAAGAAAGGTGCATCGTCTCTACACGTTTTGTTCCAGGGACCTGGTGTTGCAGGACTGAAATGAGTGTGTTCCTCTCTCTCTCTTTCTCTTGGAGGACCCCCAGGGAATGGAAGCTTCCAGATGGGTTCTGCTCAGCTCCCACATCCCCATGTGGTGGGTGTCAGGCATGCACAAGAATGAGAAGAAACCTTTGACATCCTGAAGTGGTGTTTGGCACACAGTCAGCACTTGAGAAATGCTTGTTAGAATTGAATCACATCAGTCCAGTACCAAACAAAATTTCACAAGGATCTTTTTCTCCTTGAGAACTCCTAGACCTTTTCCATCTCAGTGACTCTGAGGACCTTTACCTCTGTCTTGCTCTCACTCTTCTGACTTGGCAAGACCTGAACTCCCGAGGCGTCTTTCCCGCTCACATGTACAGGGCTAAGAAGAGCCCTGCTTCTCATTTGCATAAGACATAGCATCAAAGCCTTGACATCAAAGGATGAAATCTTCAAGAGGGTTTCTTGGGGAGCTTCAGGAAGCCCACCAAAATGTGGCTTCAGGTTACTGTGTTTGAAGGAGTAGGTTATGGTTGGGATCGTTTTTCTGATAAAGGTAGATATTTCATTAGGCAGAGAGTTTTGATTATTCATTATCACCAATGTTTTCACTTGGTTGTGAACTTGTGATTCCTCATACTGTGTTTCACTTAATTAGTTTTGAAACTATTATATTTGGAGACAGCTATAATTTCTAGGTTCAAATCTCATTTAATCATCTAGGGATACGAGTTGAGTGTGAGCTATAACAAATCAACCATGAAAGGAGTGAAGAATTTAGAGTATTCTCCCTCCCTGCTCTAGACGCTCCTGAAATAAAGTGTCAGGAGTGAAATCATGGTGCCTGGTTTCCTTGGGGAAAGGAAGATTGAAGCTGAATAAACGAATTTTCACTTGTTAAGTGAGACATCATTAAATTAATATTAAAGTATGGACTAATGATTTTAAATAATGTAAAATTACTAAATTGAATTGATAATGCTTAATGAGTATTATGTTAACTATTAAATAATTAATTAAATATTTTTTGAGAGTAATAATAACTGCCTACCATGTACCCAATAGTATTGTATGTGCTCTACAAAATTCACTCAATTTGTACAAGTGTCACATAACTACAATTCACAGACAAGGAAACCAAATCTCAGAGAGGTTAAGTAACTTACTCAAAGACACACAGCTAGTAAAATACCAGCTAGATGTCTGTCTTGAAAATTCTGGTTCCGGCAACACCAGGGAATCACTGCAGTACTATTGGGGGCTCCATGTTATTTATAAAAAGACTTCCATCCAGGGAAGTCCAGCTAAATGAGATAAAAAAATCTTTCAAGAGTGTCTTGTAAAAGGCAGAGTGGATGCATCCTTTCATGCTCACTTCTTTCTCGAGTTTTCCATTCATTCTCCTTGCTTATTTGTCCACAGGTCAAAGACCTTTTCTCATTATTTTGGTGAAACTGGCCCACCACTTAGAAGTGGAAACTCTGGGATACCTGGTGCTATTTTAAAATGTCTTTACAAATTGGAAACACCTTTGAAATCCATCCTTAATCCAATTTAGCATTTAAGATGTACTTTGTGGCTCAAGTCTTTGCCCTAGGCACTGTACAAAAAGGAAAAAGTGTATCAAAATGTTCAAATTATTGAATCACATTAAGCTTATAAGCATACCTATTGTCACTTATCTTCTAATGGACTCAAAATATCGTCTAGTTCCTACAGCAGTTGAGGGACTTGTTTTACTCTAGAGTCCAGCTAATTTATTTTAAAAGGAGGTGATTTTAGGTACTTTTTGAAAGCATACGGCATTCTATTGTATGCTCATGACTCCCCAGGGCAACTGGTTTGTTGCAAATACTCTCAAATGCTTGAAACCTCCTGGGTGTTTACAATAAAATGGGGAGTTCTGCACTGACGGTGGGCCAGGGCCACTACCACTTTTTCTTTTTGCCCTATTTTTTGGAGACAGTTTCCTCTAGGCAGTCATAATGGACAGACTTTTTAGCTGCTCATTTCTGATCTTTGGCTCAGAAACGCTTTAAAGAAGGAAGTTCTAGTTGAGTTTTTCTGAGTTAGCATTTCCTGCCATTTGGTCCTCCAGATTATTGGGCTGCTTTGGGGCCTGAAGGGGGAAAATGGAAGAAAAAAGGGGAAGTCACTGAATGTCCCCAAGCAAATGAGGATTTGCTTTCAGGCAGCCCTGTTTAATATTCAGAATGTATATCCTAGGGGGGGAAAAAAGGTACATGTTTTAGAAATTTTACTGTTTTTAAGGAGGCAGGCAGGCAATTTCTCATTTCAACCACACATACGTGTAAATCTCAAACTCCTGTGCAGAGGCAACTAGCAACTACTGTTTAAAAACGGTTTAAATAGAATTCCGATTGCTCTTTTCTCTTTTGAGTCTGTGTGCCAAATGACAGGGACCAATCTTCCTCTTCTTTTCCTACAAAACTCAGGAAGATGAAAGAGCCTAGACATGCATTCCTTACAGAGCCTTCGTGCGGTTATTCTAAATAATTTACACACACACACACACACTCCCCACCCCCCACCCCCGTGTGCGTTTTCCTCCCTTTTTGCTTGCGTGAAATCAATAGCTACAGTAACTTAAAACCCACTTTCTCATTCAGGGGCATTTCAGAACGTTTTTCACGGAGAAGCCAAAATGCCTGGAACCGCAAAACTGTTCCTCTAGGCCACCGACAAACACAGCTAGTGCCCAGCGCCTCGCCAGGCGCGCTCAAGTAAAAGTTGCCCATCTCATTAGCCCGGGTCTGAGTTTGCACGAATGCAGCTCTCGAGCCACGGAGGAGACACCATCTGCTGCGGAGATAATGACCTGAAACCGTGGCCGCGATCTGCTTTCTCCTCCACACCGCCCTAAACCCTCCGCTTTATCTAAAATCCCTTTTTTTCAGAGACAGCAGCGACTCAGGCAACCCCTGGGATGTTGACTACGAGTTTCTCCTTGAAACGTTTTCTGATTTCGTCTTCCGTAATCCAGCCGGCTAGAAGCGCGACGGGACTCCCGGGTCCTCTCCACCGCCGCCCGCCACCACACCGCAAAGGTGGCAGGGGTGCGCGATACCTGGGCGGGTGGATGCAAAAATACCCGTCTGCTCACCTCCTTTGTGCGGGTTGCGCGCTGCAGTCTTTGTCCGCTCGGCCCTCCGCAGGGGCCACGCACTCCCGCATGTGGCCGGCAGGTGGCGCGCTTGGTTCACGATGAGCCGCTGCCTGAGCGGGAAAGACACTTCCACCTCCCCGCCGCCGCTCTCCCGCTGGGATCCGGGCCTGGGAGAACACCCGGCCCTCCTCTAAAGGGATTCTAGGAGGAAGGAAGGAGGGAAAACTCGTCAGGAATCCGGACCCTTCAGACGTCCGGACAAAAGCACCGAGTAGCCTCGGGGGTCGCTGCGTTGCGGGCTCCGGCCGGCGCTCACGTGGCTGCGCCCGCCGCCGGGGCTTCCCAGGACGGGCGACGGCGCAGACGTGCCTGCGCCCCTAGGAGGTCGGCGGGGGCTCCGCGGCGCCGCGGCCGGGGCTGCTGCGAGGATTTCCGCGCGGCCCGCGGCCCACCGCGGTCTCCGGTGTGCTGAGAAGTGGCCCGCCCGGCGCAGGACCGCGGGCTGCGCGCAGAGCCTCGCCGGGCGGCCTCCCAGCGCTCGCGGGCTGCGCGCAGAGCCTCGCCGGGCGGCCTCCCAGCGCTCGCGGGCGTCCTGGGGCAGCACCGGTCTCCCGCTCCCACGGGAAGCCCTTCGCTTCCACTCCCCGAGCCCCGGACCTGCCAGGCCGGGTGCCAAGGGACTCCCCCTGGGAACCACAACGCTCCCTGCAGCCAAGGCCTTATCACGTCTCCTTGCTGCGGTGGGGGGTCCCGTCCCGGGGCCGAGGCCAGACCCACGTCGTAAGATGGGGCCAGAGGGGGCTTTTCCGTTGCTAAAAAAGTAACTTGTTTCCCCTCTGGACACAGTCGCCGAGCCCAGCTTCCGGCGAGGCGCTGCGCTCGACGTTGGGGACCGATTAGGTCTTCGCTCTCCAGGCAGTCGAGGAGCCTGGGAAGAAAGGAGGAATCAAGCCACAAACTCCCCCAAAAGAGCGTTTCATACGGAGATACGCCATAGAGACTCAGACCAGGACAGGTGGCAGAGGGTGGCTGAGGCAGGGCGCGAGGGGGAGAGCGCAGCTCCGGCCCCGGTGCGCGAGAGGCGAACACTGCGACCCTCAGAAGCGAGGAACAACAAAAAAAGGCAGGTCAACTTTATACCTATTGCAATAAAAGCTTTTTCCTCCATCTCAAAACAACCGTGGGGGAAAGGGGCTGCCAACATTTCCTCGGACTCCTCTGTCAGTTCGGAGGCTTTAGAAGACCGTTCCTCTGCCCAGGGGCTGGCCCCCTGAGGTGGCGTCCGGGGACCCCGCCACCTCTCTCTAGCGGGGGCGAACGCCCCGCAGAATTGGCCCCCCTCAGACCGGGAAGACTTTGCGCGCCCCGCAGAGCCCCGGACGGGGCGGGGTACCAGGGCGGGCCCTGCTCTGTGGGGGTGGGGTGGGGCCCCCGTCTGCGCCGCCATTGGCCGAGGGCCCCGGACTGGCGTGTGTACGTCACGGGCCTGGCCCACCCCCTTGGCAATGTCTTCAGCCTGCCGCACTCCTAACTTAAGCATTTATTCCACTGGGATAGAAGCGGTAGGAGCAGCGTTGGCACCGACGAACCATGGCTGGGATTTTCTATTTCGTCCTCTTTTCGTTTCTCCTTGGGATTTGCGACGCTGTCACCGGTTCCAGGGTGTACCCCGCGAATGAAGGTAAGAGTGGGGCGGCCTTCCGCAGCCGGGGAACAGAGGGGCCGATCTACGGGGGTGAATGGTCCCCGAAGGCTCAAGGCCGGCGGTGTGGGGTGGGGGATCCCGGCGTGCGAGGTGCGCCCCGACGCCGGAGCAAGGGGCCGGGGCGGGGGGATCTGAGAAGGGGAGGCGGGGAGCGGCCCGACAGCCTGCCCTGGGGCGGTGACCCGTGCATGCGGCGGGGCTACTCAAGTTTATAGCGAAAGGACAAAGTTTATCAGCATCCGCTGGCGAGGCAGCTCGAGGCGCCCCGAGGGGGTACAGGGAGCCGAGACCAGGACTAGGAAAGACAAATCACTAAAATCTGTGGATCGAGTCCTTCCTACCACCACTCGCCCACCTAGCCCCGGAGGAGGGGGACACGAAAGCCCGGCGCGCGGTGAGGGATCGGTGCTCCCGGGTTCTTGCGGACGCTTTGGAGCTCTGGATTCTTCAAAGTTTCCCAAGCCCTTGGCTCCCCGGGACCAGGCTTCAGGGCCTCCGTCGCGCGGCGGTCCTGGCGCCGCTCTCAGGTCGACAGTGACCTGATTTCTAGCCCCCGGCGTCAAGACACCTTTCTCTCCTCTGAGCCCCTCGGACCCGGGGGGGGGAGATCGCTGACCTAGGGAGCCCCAAGCTCCTCAAGTCACCCTGCAGTCCTGGGGAACCCGCCGGCAAGTTGTTTTGCTTTTTTGCCTAGAAAGGTACACCGAGTTAGTGTGGAGGGAGGTGCGAGACCGACTGGACGCGTCTCCGTGCTCAGGTTTCTGCTCGTCTATTCGGACGTGTTGAAGGGATTGTGTGTGCGCGTGTCCTTCTTGGGGAAGTGTGGGGGTCGATCGTTTAGTTTTTGATGATCTCAGAGAAAGGCGAGTGTGCGTGTGTCTGTGTTTGTATGCGCGCGCGCGCAACTGCGTGTATGTGGGTGCGCGGGTGCCCGCGTGGACGCGGACGATTGTGTGCCTGTACGTGAGTACCCCGATCGTGTGCGCGTGGGTTCCGGCGATGCTCGTGCTCGAGCCTGCGTGCATCTAGCCTTGCGTACGTCTTGCCTACTCTTTCACCCCCACCCCCTTGATTCCCATCCCTCCCTCCATGCATCTATCCATCCGTCCATTTCGCTGGGATACGTCCTTGCATCCTTGTGCAATCTATCATTTTCTGTGTTCCGAAGGAGGGAGCCAAAAACCAACTTAGCCTTGGCTGGGAAGCCGGTCCCCAGAGCTCGCCAGACGGAGACTCAGAGATTCACACACCTGCCCGGCAGACACTGCTTGGGAGGAAAGGGGCGCTGTCTCACGCTCTGCCATCTCCTCCCTCCTTCCTACGCGGCTTCTGGTGCCTTCGTCGCCGCGGCTGTCCCTCGGTCCCCAGGGGTCATTCCTCTTAGCAGAATAGTGGATCCCGCGTTCTTCTGACGACTTCTCCCACTTGCTAGGACGTCCTTGAAGACCTCTCTCGCACAGACGTATTTTCTTTTTGCCCCTTCCTTCCTTTTTATTTTAGAAGCAGAACTTAGAAGCCCTAGACAAAAAGGTGCTGATGGAGTCATAGGCCGATGGAGAAAGAAGGGGGGGTGCCAGCCCCCCTCCCTGACCCTTCTTCGCCCCTTAAAAATTAATTCATTTTGTTGCTTTTTATTCCCCTCACGTTTCCTTTCCTCCTTTTTACCCTCGCTTTCCACTCCCTCCCTTTTTTTGTAAATTGGGTCTTATTGTTCCCTTTGTGTCCCTAATCCACCTTACATAAATCCAAATGGATGTAGCGGGCTTTTCTCTAGGGACCGAGAAGAGAGAATGAGGGGGAGCCACTCCGGGCGGGAGCGACCCAGGGAATGTTCAACATTTTAAAACAATTAACAGACCCCAGGAATTCTGGCTCCCCAGGAAAACCAGACGAAGAGGCTGATTTTAACTCTTTTGACTTAAGGGTGACAGGAGTGGAGGTGGCTGGATTCAGGGGCCTGGGAGCCGGATAGAGGTGAGGTGCCAGGAGCAAGGATGATGGCTTCCTATCCCAATCCCTCCCCCAGCCTGAAGAGCCAGCCTTGCTGATCAAATTAATAACCCAGTGGTTCCTTTGAGATCAGCCTCTTGATCCCCAGGCCTGAAGACCTTGGTGGGAAAGGGGTTGTGAAGAGGTTGGGAATTCACTGCGTCCTTTCCAGTGTCCTCTGTTCCTAAGAGAGGTCCAGCAGGTCTGTAGCCGCTGTCTGGCCCCTCACCCACCTAAGCTTTTATGCATAGTCTTAAGGTGCGGCACAAGCATACTAATTTTTTAGGTAGCACTCCATACCTGAAATTCAAACCGGTGATTTCCTCCCGGGCTGAGGACGAGTCTCCAATTGTTTTCAAAAAGACTGGGGAAAAAGAATACTTCACTGTATTATCATTCTAATTCTGCACATCTGCCTTCTGCTTTCTGTAACTCTGATGTTTAAAAAAGAGCGAATGGCCCATCCAAGACCTGTTTATCTGGTAGTGGAGGGGAAAAAAATGGTAGGGAAAAGAGCCTTTTCCTGAACCTTTGAGTACTCTCTGATAGAATTCACTTGTAGCTCTGTCACCGTGATGATGAGTTATGTGGTCATCGGAAACTTGCAAAAACAAATAACTAGTAGAGATGAATGCCGATTTTGCTCTGGAGTGTAACTGCCATACATAGATGTATTTATTTTTTGAATTGACTTGAGATTCCCTATTCATCCTTCTTAGAAAATGTATCAACTGAGTCCTGGGATGGAATTCTAAATGCTAAGCAAGTTTAAATAAATAAGAACCTGAACATTTAAAGAGGGGAGGAGATCAAGTGAGTAATGATTATTTACATAAGTGAGACCAAGTTTAGGTTTTGATCAGAGCTGGATGTGCACACCCTGAGAACATATGGAAACGCTCAGGCAAAATGGTTTTTGTAGTATTGGCTTTTTGCAATTGGAAATTAATCTATTTTTCCTTTCTTTTTTTTTGACAGTTACCTTATTGGATTCCAGATCCGTTCAGGGAGAACTTGGGTGGATAGCAAGCCCTCTGGAGGGAGGGGTAAGTTCTGAGTTCTCTGATCCAAAGGGTAAAAAGGAGTGATTAGCAACTTTCTGAGAGTCCTAATGGCTTGATTCTCGTTGATTGTGGTGAGGGGGTCAAATTTCCGCCAGGGCCTATGAAGTGAACTAACGCTTTGTTGGAGAAATCCTATACTCCCGTTGGATCGCTCTGTCGTGGAAAAACTGGAAACCAAAAGGGCAGAAAGGGGGTTCAAAATGAGGATATTGGTAGAGGCATAGACTTATGCCCATTTAAAACTAAAATACCGACAAAGAAATACGATCTGGGGACCAAATTAGAATGTATGAATGCCTATTACTGCAATGGCCATGAAGTCCTGACAGGGTTAATTTTAGACCAACTGTGATTCCAGATGAGGAAAATGAATAAATAAAGAGACCTGGGAGAAAACATTGCCCGAGTTTACTTTTGTGTGTAAACAAGTAGGGGCTTCTCACCTTGCTGTCACACCTCAAATCAGCTGCTGCTCTCTTGCAGAGAAAGCCTTTTGAATTTGCACCAAAGGCACAATATATGCAGAAGCAGATCCGAGTTTATGCACTGTTGGTGCTAAATGTGACAAACTTAAGTATTTGGAATCTTGGTTCTCTGGGGATTGGGTAGGGTGATTACAAAGTATGAGAGTACATCACTTTCATTTCTTCTCGAGTTTGCCATCACTACCTCTATTGGAAGGTTTAGAGAATAGAATTAGGTCAATGGCCACATTCTTCCAGTCCACCCTCCCCCCTTAATAACAGGTTAGAATGAATCAGCTTTGGAAAGAAATCAGTATACATGTAACTCTGGCGTCTGCCAAATTGAAATGACCCTCAAATTCTTTCAATCGAGCATATCATTCTATCTTTATATGCTTGATTGTCTATGACTGAGTCAATTGATTAAAAACAATGGAAATGAAAGATTGGGAGTCTTACACAAAAATTGTGATGCCTCACACCGTCCACGGAAAAACAATAAAGGATTAAAATAGTAAAAATTCATAGAAACTGTTGTACAAGATAAGATTCGAAAATAAGGCAAGAAGGTAGTTCTGCAAATGGGAGATTTTAGGCTTTTTCCAAAGCAGGTCCTAAAATCTATTTGAAATAAAATGGAGCTTGCCCTGCCTTCCTGTTTTTCTGAACTTGACTGCAGTTAGCTGGGTCTCTGCTGAAAAATTCTAGTCTGCCCTCAAAACCATTTTTTTAAAAGGAGGGAGAATGATTGGCAGGCCTCTGGCAGTGTAGACAGGCTGTATTCACCGCTGATTGCCGGCAATTGCCCTCATCCTTTGAATGTGAAGAAAGGTACAGCTTTATCTTGTGAGAGTCAGGCTCTTGTTAATCCTATACCCTGGAAAGGTCACCGATTCAGGGAGGCTTTCCCAGGCTACACCAAGGGTATTGCTCTGTAGGTTGAATGTATTAAGAGCTGCTGGCAAAGTTGAGGATAGAAGGTATCAGTACTTGCATTTAAATTTTTAATGAGCCTTACTTTTCTTACTGGTTGCTCACAAGTTTGAAGAAAGAATGCATCTAGTATGATTTTGGAGCTAATCTGTTAAACTAAATATACATGTGACCTATTTAAAAGCAAGGAGTGACACATTTTCTAGTACAGTCAAACTAGTTTCTGGAAAGCTTTTATTGCAATTTTATAAGCTGCAGACATATCCCCCCCACCCGCCCCTTCCTATCCCTGTCCTCATCTTATCCCTCCCCCACCCTTTCACCACACCCCTGTACACCCCCCCCACAACCCAAGAACTGAAAAACAACACCTGGTCACTTTTTCTAGACAAAAACTTCTGGTTATCTTAACTTCTCTAAAAATATACCATGCATATAGCTGATGTATATAACCCAGAACTTTTATGGGCTGAATGTAGACTTCTGAATGTAGAAGGTAATTTTTTTCCTCTTATATTATCTGTGTAACATTTTAAGTATTACTGTGAGGGGTTAGAAATGAAATTTTATTTGTGTGTGAAATAATTAGTTATTCCAGGATATACTGTAACCATTGAGAAATTATGTGCCACATTATATAGTTTAGTTTCTAGATATTGTAATTGAAGAGGACTTTTTCAGCATTGGAATGAAAGGATGACCTGGATATCAACCAAGTAGGGATAGAGTGGCTTTAAAAAGTTATTTCTAGCTGAGGGTAAAGTATATCTGAGTCTTTTGATTATTCTGAAATCTCTTAGAACAGTTCACCTCTTTCTTGGCTGGAAACTTGGGATCATTGTTTTGTATAATAATGACATTTATTTGTTGCTGTTTTTATAGACAAAAAGAAACCTTATTTGACAATACCACTGGGTAAAATAAAATATAAAATATAGCCAGAGACAACTCTCTGTTCTTTTTTTTTTTTCCCCTTAACAACTATGGAGAACATGAGAACAGTGGAAAGTGATGGCTTCTGATGGCAACATGGTAGCAAAAATCTAATTTCTTGGCAATTTTCATTTAAAGTATATTGAGTTTCTGATGCTGGTTTTAAAATACAAAATTAATGGGAGATTTGTCACGTGTCTGGTGGACTTGATCGTGTGTTTAGACAATTGGGTTAAGGCTGGAAAATTCACATTAAGTTTGAATTACCCTTACATAACTTTGTGGAGATACTCCTTTGTGCTTTCATTTACATTGATAAATGTGTTTTTCCATATTCCCTTTGTTCTGAGATGAGAAGCATGAAGAGTAGGTTTTTTTTGAAGGCGGGAATCTATTTTTGGATTTACATGTATTTCCTCAAATTAGTAAATTACTGGTGATTTATTCCTTAGTGGATAAAAAGAAATTTTAATCACCAAAGGGCACTTATCCCTCCCAGGTGCAACTTTCAAAATGGTAGCAAATGAAAGGGATATAGAATTTTATGCATTATGGCCCTTCTTCACATAGTAACATCTCCATCCATTAATAGTTTTCCAGTGCACAGATGGGAAACCTGTTATAAGATACATTTTGATTCGACGTACTTCATTGGATTGAATGGAACTTTAAGTGGAGCTGTTACAGTATACGAATTTTTTTAAACTATCCTTTTTTTTCTTCTAATTATATTCATGTGTTAGACACTTCGGCTGATTTATACCAGATCTGTATGAATACATTACTGTAGATATTAATGAAGAATTCTAGGCTGTCTCTTGGCCTTGTACGAGCCTTGGAACAATTTTGTTTCTTTTAGGATTATAGTTTAAACTATGGCAAGAGTGAACAGCTCTAGTCACAGTGAATTCAGTTTGTCCCACCATTAGAATCTTTATGTTAGGAAGTAGATTGCAAAGAAAACTCTACCATCCATCTTAATTTTTGTGGGCTTTCAATCATAAATGCCACTTAATATATTATTTTCAATACCCACAGAATATGTAGAAGCAAAGCATGTGTGCATTCTTGTTGACGTATGCGTGTAAGTTTTAAAAATAAGAATATGCACACTTCTTAATTGAATACATGCTCTTGAAAAGTGTGCTACCATTATAAATGAAGCATATTTGAGAAATCCAGCCATAAAGTTTACTTTCTGTCTTCCCAGGATTACTGAAACCAGAATGGTGAGATTTTCTTTACCCCCTTTAAAGAGTAGTGATGGTGCCAGAGAAAAGAAGAAAGTCAATTGACATTTTTATAGGTATTAGCGAAGTTCTGACAGGAGCATCACTATTAACTGATAATTGTCTTCCTTTGCCAAATTCAACTTTTCCTGCTCTTAATTTGCAGGTCTGTGCTCAGTTGTTGGAACAATGCACATAGTAGTTTTTCACTTATGAGTAAATCTGAACTGTTGCCACTTGAAATTGTAGCTGTCGTAATAGGTGAATTTGAGGTTGTTAGACCACCACAAGGAGCTGCTGCGAATTCATAAAGCAATAAATCCACCAGTGCTTCTGGATTTTAGGCCAAAGAACAAAACAATAAAAAAATAAAAATAAAAAACCCACTTCCCCAATAAAATACTGTCTTACCTCTCAAGATGCTTTATTAGTGAGCATAGGTGTCCAGTAGTTTTCTTCCTAATGTAAACAGATACCATTCCTGCCCTATGAGGGTAAAACAAAACTGACAGATCACTGTATGATGAAATTTTGTAATTGATACATTTCCTTTGGATCTTTTCAGTGGGAGGAAGTGAGTATAATGGATGAAAAAAATACACCAATCCGAACCTACCAAGTGTGCAACGTGATGGAGCCCAGCCAGAATAACTGGCTACGAACTGATTGGATCACACGAGAAGGGGCTCAGAGGGTGTACATTGAGATCAAGTTCACCTTGAGGGACTGCAACAGTCTTCCGGGTGTCATGGGGACATGCAAGGAGACGTTTAACCTGTACTACTATGAATCAGACAGCGACAAGGAGCGTTTTATTCGAGAAAGCCAGTTTGCCAAGATTGACACCATTGCCGCTGATGAGAGCTTCACCCAAGTGGACATTGGAGACAGAATCATGAAGCTGAACACTGAGATCCGGGATGTAGGGCCACTGAGTAAAAAGGGGTTTTATCTGGCTTTTCAGGATGTGGGGGCCTGTATCGCCCTGGTGTCAGTCCGTGTGTTTTATAAGAAGTGTCCACTCACCGTTCGCAATCTGGCCCAGTTTCCAGACACCATCACAGGGGCTGATACGTCTTCCCTGGTTGAAGTTCGAGGCTCTTGTGTCAACAACTCAGAAGAGAAGGATGTGCCAAAAATGTACTGTGGGGCAGATGGCGAATGGCTGGTACCCATTGGCAACTGCCTGTGTAATGCTGGGCATGAAGAGCGGAATGGAGAATGCCAAGGTAAGAAGAGCCATATTGTACTTTTCATTAGGGCTTAGTGCACGTAATTAAATCAGAGATGAGACTAAATGGAGTAAAGCCAGTAATTAGCAGCCCCTGTGGGATGTGGTGGGACAGAGGGCTCTAATGAGTAAGTGCTATAGCTCCAGGTGGCAAGGCTAAGACATTTCTAATACTGACAAAATAAATGATGCTGCTGTATTCAGCAGAAGGCCAAACACATTTGCTAACAGGCACTTAGATCTGAACTGGCTTGATGCTCCCTCTGAAATGTAAATGAACAAGCTCAAGAAAGGGGCTTGATTGATCCTCACTTAAAGAGGGCAGGCACATTTCTGAACCATGGTTTTCCTGTCTACAGACTTGGTAAAGTGGCAAATATGGTAAATATCTCTCCTCCTACATATATGTGCATAAATGATGTGAATGTGAAATTAGGATTGTGTTGCTCTAATTCCCTCCTGATTAAAATCAAGCTGTGTGAAGAAAGTCCAGTTTTTCCTGGTTAATGGACCAGTGTAGATGTGGCTCAACTAAGTGGAATGACACAATATCAAGTGCATTCTGTTCCACTAAGCATCCATTGATAGGGTCTCCAAGTGAAATTAATCTTGATGCCAAGACCCCTTGATTTCCCGGAGGAGTTGATAAATTGCTAGTAAGAGTCTTACTTGATCTGAGGTCAGAGGCAATAGTAAATTGTGGTCCATTTTGGTTATTGAGTGTTTGAAGAAGTCTCCATGTTTTTAATCCTGTTAATGACTATTTATCATATTACTAAGGTGATTATTTTCTCACCTAAGTTCAGTGCATGCAATTCCTTCTTTCCTCTTTCTCAGGAGTTAGTGTGAAGTTTTTTCTTTGTGGCAGCTTTGTCTCTGTGGAGGGGTGAGAGTAATCCATATTTATAGGGATTGCTTGTGTTTATGTATGGATTAAGGCTTTAGAAAATTAGTTATCCCAAGATGTTTCATTTTTGCTTGGTATTTCTTTTTAGTGGTTATCAAGTCTGTAGGTGCCAGTCTTACTATGCTTACTGCTAAACAGTGCAGCTCTGACCCTTCTGTGGAACCGTTCAGATTAATCTTTTCTCAGGGTGATTGTTGAGCTGTAGACTGATTGCCACATGGTTCATCTGATTTGGTGCTTCAAGAGCCCGAAATAACTGACTGCCAAACAATTTGTCTGGCATTTCAACCATCTTAATGACAGGGTGGGATTAACTATGGGGCAATCCTCTTGACTGACCGGGTATCAACAGTTATAACCTAAAGAAAGTTGCATTTTTGGCAGTTTGCTGTCATAAACTATGTGATACATTTCTACTTTCATAGTTTATACTTTTTCGAAAGTGTCATTCCTGATTTGCTATACTTTTAGGAATCACTAACCTTTAATTTAATTGTGAATAAACAGAATAAAGGCTAGTTACCTTTTCTGTTGAGCTAGAATAAGAAGGTAAAACGTCTAAACTTCAAAATTTAATGCTTATTATTAATAATGACATTTAGTCTATCTCCCTATGCATAGGGAGATGTCTGATATAATGTTCACCCCTTATTAACAGTCATTTCTGAGTGTGGAATTGGGGTGATTAAAAACTTATCTACAAAAAAAAATATAAAAAATTTTAAAGTAGGAATTTAGAGTTGTTTTTTTTTTTAACAGAGATTAATTTCTTGTCATTTTGTTTGTTCTCGACCTAGCAACTGCTAGATAAGCTGTACCAAATTGAAACCCCCAAGTATATTCTGGTATTAATACTAGTAAAACATGTGAGTGCATTCTTGGCACCTAAATTGCAATCATCATTGCTGAGTGAGCAGGGCAGTGACACAACATCACACTAGTAAATTATTCTGCCTCCTCCTTTTGTGTAAGACAGGATTGCATATCTTCACATGTCAAGATTCATATATATATTTTAAAAAAATACCATTGTCTTCCATTCCCTGCTCAAATGTGCATGCTTCTGGCATTAGTATATGTCTTTGTATCTAATGTCATTGATTTTCAGTTGTCACGGAGCCCCATAAGTCATATATCGCTACACTGTGAAACTCTTTTTGACATTTTTACAACCCAAATTAGAAGAAAAAGAGAAAAAGATGGAGGGAGAAGTGAATGTAAAGGCAATTGAACATTTTAGTGTTTTGTTTCATGGAAATCATCTTGGGAATCCAGTTAATCATGTGATGTGGTTCGTGGAAGGGTGGGGCTGAGTGTTTTAGGTCCAGTCTAATTCTGAGCAGACTGTTCCTAAACAAGGCTAGGTATTTGATGGACAGGGAAGGTTTTATGCCATTTTTGAGAGTCTCCATTGTTTTTATTCCTGCTTCCCAGGTATTTTCTTTGTTACTCATAAAATGATGAACTCTTTTGAGAAGAAACTTATTGCACAAAATCCTGCCATCTGTTGACTTGTTTTTAATATTACCAGGTAAGAATCTGATGAATTTAGGGAAGAAGGAAAAACTTGAATGACAAGAATTCTTAAATTTCAAACTTGAGGGAGGCTTTTTAAAGGTGACTCAAAGCTATAAAAATCTTAGAAGTTATAAAAAACGGTTGGCTGCCTCCTTGCCATCATTACTGGGGTTTCACGTAGAGCCAAGGAAATGTCTTTCAGTTTGGTCACTAAGCTGTGTGACCTTGAGCCTGTCTTATAAGTCCATTGAGCTCTGGTTTGGTCATCTGTAAAATGGGTTGATCATAATTGGATTGAGGCCATAGATAGGTAAGTCACTGGTTAGATCATAAAGCATTAAAAGGATGTTAATGTTAGCATCAGTCTGCACCTCCCAGTGCCACAGCTGTTGACTTTTAAGGATGTTGAGCTGAAATACTAAAAAGGAATGTCTCCGCCACTCTTGTAGATGGGAAGCACTGCCCCTGCCCTAAGAAAGAATAATGTCCATTTTCACAGTTCATGTCAAAAATGATACTAGGAACGCCATTTTATTTGTCCCCTGTAGGAAAGAGAACTTTCCCTTTGAGTGAGAGAAAAGTGATTTGGGGGCGGGACCAGAAAGACCCGGCTGCAAAGAGAGCTTAAGAAGGGACATAAAGGAGATCTGGCAAGTGTTGAGAACTCTAGCAGCAGGCCCCCCCAATTGTCTTTTCAGTGGGCCTACTGTGGCAGGACGAATAGAAGGACAGGTGAAAGGTCACCCACTTCCTCATCCATCTTCCTAGGGGTCTGAGAGGTCAGAGTGAAGATGGATTAAGATCTTAAATGTTTGACAAAGGATCCTCGGGCAAAAATGGCCAGGGCGGGTGGGGGCCTGGGGTGTGCTGTTGTTTGGCTCCAACCCTGGTCATCTGCCGGCATCCTCAGGGACCCTGGGGACAGAACTACACTTCCTCTTGGAGTTCTTACCGCCAAGCAGTACATGCTAATGGAGATGGGAGGATGAAGAGCTATGTCAAAAGTGTCAGCAGTGGCAGGGGGATGGCGGGCTTGCCCTCTGAAGCAGCTGCAAGTTCACTGTGCTCTTGAATAATGTTTTCTGAAATGGTTTGTCTCCGTCTGTGCGGGACAACAAAGGGTACCAGCCACTCTTCTGTCCCTGCCAGGAGAATGCAGAGCTGGTGTTAGCAGCAGTTTGAACTTGCCTAGTGGGTACAGAGGATCAATAATTATTTTAGGTAGTCTGGTTACCGGGTCTCCTCAGACTGTCAGAAAAAGGAAATAAAATCCGCCCCAGAGACCACCCCCTGCCAGCCCCACATGCCCCCCGTCCCCCAGGAAGGAAATGTTCCACATGTTTTAGAGTTGTTTTCGTTACTTCAGAAATATTGAGCAGAATGAAGTAAGGAAACAATTCTTTATCAACTTATTTTTTGCTTAATTAAAAAGCTGAAAAATCAAAGTCCCATTTACTCCTTGTGAAATATTAATAAGCAGTATTTTCAGAGCGTATATATAAAAATAATACTAATGAAATGAAAACATTCTTATGGAGTTGCTCTTAAGACCAAATAATCGCAACTGTGGCAAAGTTAAGCTGGGGTTAGGAATCAAACCTTGCTGAAGTACACGATGGTGCCGTAAGATTGTTTGGGGTCAAATATGTCTAGAACCTCTCTTACATAGCCTTACCTATCTGATGCCTTCATTCCAGCAAAAGTATCTTAATTACAGCCTCCTTTGAGAAAGAACATGGTAAAAATGCTTTGATGGCTGTAACACAGAAACATTTCAGATTTGTGGCCTGAAAAGAGAGCTGTTAAAAAAAAAAATTACTTGGTTTTCCTTAATAGAAAGGACCTTAGGAGAAGGTACTGGAAAGGAAGCATTTAAAATATAGTTCAGAGAGATGCTGTTTCATATCCTTTCCACTTTTGAAATTTCTTTTCTACCTTTGAGTCATGTCTTTAAGAATCAATTGCTTGAATCACATAGCTGCTTTTATCTCTAGCTTTGAAGCCTGGCTGTGATCATTGAAAGACGAAATTCTTTATATACAAGAAGAGCAGGGCTTAATTATTGTCCTTTTTTTCTGTTATACTTTTTTATTTTCCTTTCTTCGTGTGAACCAGGCTTTTTTTGTGAGTGTGAATCATGCAGTGGTCTCTGTTTTGGGTTCACCAAAGCGGCAGGCACATAGACATTTTCTCAAACAGGGATTTTTTAATATGTTGTTTAAGATTTGATAACTACTTTAGTCTGAGCTTCCTTAAACATTTCAAGAATGAGTTAAGACACAATGATCCTGTTAAGACTTGAGTCTTCAGGAGAAAAGGGTTGATAAATGAATTTCCAATTACTGCTGTGCAAAACAGAGGTGGTTGCCATAGATTTTCATTCATATCATTCAGCTTTACAACTTTGGCTTTCTGGATTTTTATTTATATTTGCATTTAATTGATGAATTTAACATTACCAAAGAACTGCATTCTTCAAACTCTTACCAACTTCTTATGAGTTACCACTCTACAATTTGGCCAGGAACCCAAATATACCTATTTACATGTATTTGAAGAAAAACAAAAACAAA